TGGGCTGTAATATATTTCAATATTAAGAAGCTGGCACAAATAACAAAAAGTATAGGATTGAAAAAAGGGGCTTGTGCTTATTTCCTTTTTTAAAAAAAAAGTCTTCTTTTTTATATTCAAAAGAAAGTGAAAATACAAAACTCCAGAAAATTAAAAAACAAAACAAAAAACCCACAAAACAATCAAAACATTAAAAAAAGTTCATTGAAAAGAACAGAAAACCAACATTTATATGCACATATTATCCCCTCTACTTGAATAATGATTAATACATTACTACAATATTGCTTCCCATCCCTTGCCCCACTTCCCCTAAATTTTTAAACTGGTAAATCTATTTGCAAATTATTGTCCTGTCTTCTATATACTATATTAACGACAACATAGTTAACAGGAAGAACAATCATAATAAAAAAGACAAGATTAAAGTTTCAAAACCCTTTAACAAACTTATTGTTATAAATTCATAGAAAATTTAACACAGCATCTTATCTATCCCAAATCATCCCAAGAATTAAGAGTAATTTGTCCTTGATCAAATATCCATGTTTGTTTCTTAATGCTATCTTTTATCGATTGTTATCTAATTAAATATAATAAATCCAGTCTCCATAGTTGGTGTATTTTCCCAACAAAGTCCAAATAGAAGTGGCTTCCAGTTAAGTGTAACAAATCCATTCTCCAATCTCCCTCAGTCTTCTTAGGAAAAAGCAAATTGTCACTCCTCCATTCAGACAGACTTCTAGTATTGTAAAAGATTGCAGGCTCAAACTGCAAAGAGATGAATGCGGTCAGCTCAGTTAGTTCTGTCTGTACAGTCCATATCTCTTTGGTCTGCAACTTTCAAATCAGATTCCTTTTGTGAATCTAATTTATCCAAAGCTGAATGCCTCTGAATATTTTCCATGGCCATTATCATTTCATCAAACTTTTTTTTAAAAAAAACTTTCAAGTAAAGATTGCATTTTGCCAAAAAGTCTTTTTGATATCACAATAATTGTAAGTGTGAAAAAGGGTCATAAGTCACTTTTTTCAGTGCAGTTGTAACTTTGGTCACTAAATGAATGGTTGTAAGTTGAGAACCACCTATACCTACAGAATGAAATGGACATTGACTCCTGCTAAATGTATAGGGATAGCCATATGGTTTTATCGGCAGAAATGTAGATGTATTTGCCATTATCTTCTTCCAGGACTACTTATTTCCCAATCCAGCCTACAACTTGGATGTTTTTTTGGTGGTCTCTCCTCCAAATATTAGCTTTTGTCCTGTTTCCCAAAATACATCAAAGCAGGGGTGAAATTCAGCAGGTTCTGACAGGTTCTGAAGAACCGGTAGCGGAAATTTTGAGTAGTTTGGAGAACCGGCAAATACCACCTCTGGCTGGCCTCAGAGTGGAGTGGGAATGAAGATTTTGCAATATCCTTACTCCAGGAGTGGGGAGGGAATGGGGATTTTGCAATATCCTTCCCCTGCCATGCCCATCAAGCCATGCCCACCAAACCCACCAAGCCCACAGAATCCGTAGTAAAAAAAAATTGAATTTCACCATAATTTTGATACTGGAGGCATCAAGATTAAGCCCAGATTAGGCCAGTTTCGTAACTTAATAAAAATGAAAGGAGTGCAGTGTCTTCGTTTAACGAAAAATGGATTGGTGCATTTGGAACAGTCTTCTTCCCCCTGGCTTTGACAGGACTCAACTAGTTGAGAGGAAAGAATTTGGTGACTTCATAAGAGCATAGAGCTCTACTCGTGATGATGGGTGTTTTATTGGTTGAGAATGTCAAGTTTGGCTTTGAAACGTCTGAAATTTAAATCAATAAATCTTGACTGGTAAGAAACTGGGAATCTATTTCTGAAGTCAATTGGAGAGTAGAAACCTGTCCACTTTTTATTACTATCCAAAGGTATCGCTGGAGAAGCTCAACTACATCAGTCTGGTAGGCTCAAGTGGAATGATCAAGGAACTGCTCCATTTTACATGTGTACAATGCAAGCAAATCATGTTGCAAAGGACCTTGCTATGACACCACATTTGTTGTAGTAAAACGTATTTATTGCTTGCTTACTGCTTATAAGAACCATTGTATTTTAATCATTCATGTTTTGTTTCCTTTTAAATAGAATAGTGGCCTGTGTTTTCCAGACTCGGTTTTGGGGCAAAAATGTTATGAAAACTGTTGGGAGTTCTTTGGACAAGAGCTGGAGAAAGAAGATTATTAACTATGTCTGGGTAAATTTCATTTATTTTTATTATTGCAGTCATAATTATACTGTTAAACAGTGAGGCAACTAAATTAGCAAAAGAGTTTTTGTTTCTTATAATGCAATTCTGTTTCTATTCTGTTCCTCATTGCTTGGTGTGAAAGACATGAATTGCTGTTAAGATGCAAAACCCTCCCATATTCTGGCTGATAACACACTGCCTTCCAGTGGGTGGTAGATAAGAGGTAGATAAGATAATAAATTGGATAATCTATACATTACTAAAATGTCCGTAACTTTTAAATGAGTGAAACGCTGCATCCTAGAACAAAATGTTTTGGACCAAGGTATTTCAAATGGGCAAATTTACAGAACGCACCCAAAATCTAGGACCCATGGCTCCCATGGAATTTAAATTTAAATTTTAAAAAATATGTCATAAAATTATCATAAAACATTTATGGCATAATATATCTTAAAACATTTCCTGTGGTCAACTCCTGATGTTTGACTTTCAAGACAGATACATCTTTTGAGTACAGGTAGTCCTTGACTTACAACCACAATTGAGCCCAAAATTTATATTGCTGAGAAATTTATTAAGTGAGTTTTGCCCCATTTTGTGACTTTTCTTGCCATATTGTTAACTGAATCACTGCAGTTGTTAAATTAGTAATACACTCGTTGAATCTCCACTGACTTTGCTTATCAAATGGATACAAAAGATAATCACATGATCCCAGGACATTGTAACTGTCATAAATATGAGTCAGTTGTCAAGTATCCAAATATAAATCACGTGACCATAGGGGTGCTGCAACCGTCATAAGTGTGAAAAATGGTCAGAGGTCCCCTTTTTCAGTGCCATTATAACTTTGAATGGTCACTAAATGAAAGGTTGTAAATCGAGGAGTACCTGTATCTCCCTGAATTTTAAAGAACTTTTGAAATCCATTAGAAATTCAGCCATTGTTGAATATATTGAGATATCTGGTAAGAAAATATCTTTGAAATGGTGACCCAAGGTGTCGTGGGTTGTCTAGTAATAAAATAGTTGGGAGGTATAAATTCCTAAAAGCCAAATTAAAGTTTTATAACCCATCATTATTTAAAAAGCTAGATCGATTTAGAAGGCTTTGTGACCTGAGGCAAGAACCTTCCTGCATTTGTATACTCATAAAAATTTAAATTTTTCTTTCCACATGCTCTTCCACTAAAACTCATAAACAGAATATGCTGTACTGATTATCATTCCCTTTTGCTTTGTAACTTTTAACAATTCTTAATCGGATTCTTTATTCTCCCCACAAACAGCTTGTTTGGATTCCCGTGAACTGTGCATTCCAGAAATGGGGGCCGGCCCTCCTGATGGCAGCTTTCACCTGGTGGCTGCATGAGCTGCAGAACGGATACTGAATTTCCATAGATTGTCATTGCTGGACTTTGACCAACCTGCAACTCACCCTGGAGGTGGCATTGACTTTGTTTGCATTTTTAAAGTTGCCTATGAAAAAGCTCCTTTTTCTATTTAAAGTGTAGGGTGGTGCTGGGTCACTGCTATTTTTCATACTTTTAAAAACAGAATTATTAATATGGGTTTGTTGCTGGGTAACTACCTGAATTTGTTTTAATATATGCCGGTAGGATTAATTCATATCTTATCTTTTATACATTTATAAGTTGTCTACTTCATGGAGAGATTTTATGTATTAGAAAGATGATAGAAGGAATGCTGGACATCCTTTTAAATTATACTTGCAGTATAAAACATCTAAAACAATTTGTAATCTTACTAACTTAAAAATAAAACTAAAGCTTCATTTATAATTCTTAGATGTATTGGCTGTTTTCTGTGTCTTTTGTGGTCTAGGCAATATTGCAGAAAGGGAAATTTTCATCCTTGAGCTGTGTTTTCAACCAGGAATATGGTGATTTATTATTATTTTTTGTTGCTATAGTCAGAGAGATCAATGCTGCGTCACTTCAAGAAGGAATGCTTGCTTCCATGATACTTGGATATAAATTCCACAAATAGTTCAAAATTATGACTCCAAAACAAGGCAAACACAGCAGATAAAACCATGTTTAACTGGGCTTCATTCAGAAAGTACAAGTGGCTGGCATACCATAAATTTATTTATTAATTTAATTTAATTTAATTTATATACCGCCCTTCTCCCAGAAGGACTCAGGGCGGTGTACAGCCAAAATAAAACACACAGATATAAAATTTAAAAAACAATTTAAGAAATATTAAATAATTTAGCCCATATCTAATTAAAATAAAACTACCCATTTTAGACATTTAAAAGTTAACGATTAAAAATTTAAAAATTAAAAATTAGTTTACATATATGTAAACACTGTTTACTTAAATGTGTGAAGAATAACACATTGAGAGACCTGCCCTTTCAATATAATCAGGTGTTTCCACTTATAAGTTGCTTTCTCTTGGCTGCATTTTCCTCAGCCTGACATAAAATACTTGAGTGATGTAATCTGGACTAGATTATTTATTGCCTGACATCATTAAAGATAATGGCCCTGATATGCACACATGAGCATTTATTCTGTTCCAGTAGAGCTTCTGATCAAATAGGTTTCCATGTTATTGAAATCATCATAAAAATAGAAGCATACTAACAGCAGGGAAAATATCCAACCAATGAACAATGGTGATAGCTTCATTCAAGCTGGCTTTAGAAAGAGCTTAAGAACATTATTGCTGATCTACCCTGGAAAAATGACAAGCTAAAGAATACCCCAAAGAAATCATTATGTGCTTCATTGATTATAGAAAGGTCTTTTTATTGTGTCAATCTATGGAATATGCTCAGAAAAATGGGAATGCCAGAATACCTCATTATCCTCATGAAATATACAGGTGTTGTCATATAAGCTTACATTGTCCTCAGGTGGAAGAAAAGACTCCATGAGGTTAGGCAGGCTGCACATGTAGCTTTTACTCTTCACTTATGTCACCAGGACAACTAGGTGAAGGGGATTAGGCCTGTTAAATAAGTACTGTATTTTTCGGAGTATAAGATGCTCCGGACTATAAGACGCACCTACCTTTTTTGGGGAGGAAAACAAGATACACACTAGTGCATGGATATGGGAAATAATATGAAATTTTACCAGTTTGGAACTGTTTTTAAGATTTTTTTTCTTTGCATAGATTGGTATTGTAATCAGAATCAGTAAATTATTCAGCATACAATCTGTCAGATGTAAAGCTTTTCCCCTCTATTTTCCTTCAGGTAACATTTTAATTAAGTTAGTGAAATGCTTTTTAAATTCCAGCTAATTGTTGATTCTAGATAAAAATTTTACAGCAAAAGGACACACAGAAGACTCATAAAACACTCACAATAACTCTGCCTCCCAGTTTGCCTCATTGCAGCAAACAGCCTGCTTTAGTTTCATTTTCACCATAGCGTGATTAGCACATGAAAAAAAAAAAAAATCTGCCTCCCAGCAATTTGCCTGTTTGCAGCAAGCAGTGGAGGCCTGCGAGGCAATAGGCAATGGCAATCCCTGCAGCCTGAAACAGCTGAGGGTCGGGAGGCCGATCCAACCGACAATCAACTGCTTGTGCTAATCACGCTGTGCTGAAGCTGAAATGGGCTGTTTTGCTGTTTGCTGCAAGGAGTAAATTGCTGGGAGGCAGAGGCCAAAGGGTGGGGGCCGGCAGGTGGGTGAAGCTATATTCGGAGTATAAGACGCACCCAAATTTTCACCCTCTTTTTTTTGGGGGGGGGTGCGTCTTATACTCTGAAAAATATGGTATATATCAAATATATGTAAGGCACTCACAGGCAAATATGTTAATTTGACGAAAGGCTCAGAAATACAATGGAGAATACTTTCACTCCAGGCATGACAATAAACCTGTGCAAAGAAGTTATGCAGGCAGCAAATTACTTTCCATTTCTTCCAAGAATCTCTACGTTTCTTCATCTGTTTCATCTTCAGAAACATCAATATTACTATAATATTTTGAGGCCTTTAAATTGCAGCTTCTTAGAATTGCACCTAACTGTTTTCCAGGTCCCACTTCATATGTATAAGGAAACTTTTTTCCTTTATTCCTTTCATAGATTGCGTGCATTATTTGTTCCCATTTCACTGGCGAAACCAATTGTTCCACTAAACAATGCTGAATCTGTTCCGGTTGCCTGTATTTCTTGCTATCCACATTTGAATAGACAGAGATGAGGGGTTGTTGGAAGCTGATTGATTCAAGAGCTTCGGATAAAGGTTGCATTGCTGATTCCATTAGTCGGGTGTGAAAAGCACCACTCACAGGTAGCATTTTTACACGTGCAAATGAGAACTTCCTTGAATTTTTCTGTAAGAATTCCAAAGCCTAAGATTAAAAAAAGAAAAAATGAATTATTTCACTCGTCTAGAACTGCTTTAGTATACTTCACTTTTTAAAGAATTCTGAATAAACAGCTGCACACTGATGAAACGTGATCCAAGAAAAACAACAACAAAAGATCTTTCAGAAGCCTGGTCAATAGTAGTACAAGCACTACAATTTAGGCCAGAAATATGGAAGTCTTAACATACATTCACCATCAGAACAATAAACCATGTTACGGGCTGCCTTTAAATGTAGTTTGGATACTTTGTGATGCATGATGTCATGAGACTGCATCTCCTATTGCTGGCAATCCTAACTGTCAATGAAACCAATGTAATGTAATGTAATGATTGTCAATGAAACCCTAAGACCACACAGGATGACCACAACTGAGCACCTCACATAACCATGTCATGGGAAGAGGCAGCAGGCAAGCAGGGCAGTGCTGCAGGCAGGTAAGTGGGTACCACTTGTAGGAAGTATGGAATGCTGGTTGATTGAACTGGAGCCATGGCGGCGCAGCGGTTAGAATGCAGTATTGCAGGCTACTTCTGCAGACTGCCGTCTGCCTGCAATTTGGCAGTTCGAATCTCACCAGACTCAAAGTTGACTCAGCCTTCCACCCTTCCGAGGTCAGTAAAATGAGGACCCAGATTGTTGAGGGCAATAGGCTGACTCTGTAAACCGCTTAGAGAGGGCTATAAAGTACTGTGAAGCGGTATATAAGTCTAAGGGCTATTGCCATTGATGCAGGGAGATGGTGCAGAGGTGGGTGCCACAGACGAAAAAGAGGTGGGAATGACTTGCAACCTCCTGCAGGCTTCCCCATTGATTTTGCTTGTGGGAAATTGGCAGAGAGGATCACAAGTAACAATCACATGACTGCAGCACGCTGGAACATTGTAATTGTGAGCCAGTTGCCAAGTCCCAAATAAGGATCATGTGACTGTGGGGACACTGCAACACCCGTAACTTTGTGGCCTGGTCCCAACTCCCTCTTGCACAGTGCCATAGTAACTCTGAACAGTTGTTGAATGAGTGGTTATATCCAAGAACTGCCCATACTTCTTCATCTTTACAAAAAGGATCATCAATCTTTCCAAGTACCAGGCACCATGGAATGTTTTTGTATGGTGTCTGTTGCAAAACTAAACCCTTTAAAATAAATCCTCCTGACTTAATTTAAGATTAGATTTTATAAAAAATAAAGATGGCTTCCTTATAAACATCCTGCCAAATATGAGCTATGTCATATTTACTTATTTATTTATTATTTCAATTTATATGCTGCCCTTCTCCGAAGACTCAGGGCGGCTTACAATGCACTACAGCAATAGCCTTCATTCTTTTGTATATACCTGCTTATTAGGGCTTTTGGCCTCCCATAAGCGGTGTTTCTACAAAGTCAGCTTATTGCCCCCACAATCCGGGTCCTCAATTTACCTACCTCGGAAGGATGGAAGGCTGAGTCAACCTTGAGCCTGGTGAGATTTGAAATCGCACTAATTGCAGGCAGCTGGCAGCTAAGTGCTACATAACAGCACTTAGTCCGCTGCACCACCAAAGCTCTGTCATTATTTTGTTTCTTTTTAAATTGTTAACATGCTAAATATATTGAGGAGAGGGAAGTATTTTGAATGTAAAGGCAACTAGTTTTACCAAAATGATGAAAGCCAGAATGAAGAGTCAGCTCAGCACCACTTGTGTCTGCGAAGCTAGGTCTCTCCAATTAAAAAAAATCCATCCAGCTTGCCAGCAAGACAGTGCATTACAGTCCAACTCATTATTGGCCAATTTTGATTGGACACACAAGGAACCTGTCTCTGGTGTGTAAGCTTTCAGTGTGCATTCAGACAACAAAGTAATACGAGATACCAAAATAGTAGAAGGTAATACAAAAGATGATAAAGATAAGGGTAATACAGCCCTACTACATGGGTAAATATCCTTAGACATAAGACAGTGCTGTGGGAATTAGGTGCTCAGCAGAGTGATGGCATGAAGGGAAAAAACACTATGTGTCTAGTTGTTTTGGCATGCAATCAAGAGCTTTTTAATTGATGCAACTAATCCGTTAATGTAATTACTTATTCTTGTTGTAATCATTATTATTAGTTTTTATATTTATAAAATATGTAAATATAGTATAATATTTATAAATTATAATATACAGGTACATTTGAGCCCAAAATTTATGTTGCTAGGTGAGAAATTTGTTAAGTGAGTTTGGCCCCATTTTACAACTTTTCTTGCCATGTTTGTTAAGTGAATCGCTGCAGTTGTTAAATAAGTAACACGGTTGTTAAGTGAATCTGGCTTCCCCATTGACTTTGTCAGAAGGTCACAAAAGGTGATCACATGACCCCAGGACACTGCAACTCTTCTAAATATGAACTACTTGCCAAGCATCCAAATGTAAATCACATGACCATGGGGATGCTGCGATGGTCATAAGTGCGAAAAATAGTCATAAGTCACTTTTTTCAGTGCTGTTGTAACCAAACAATCACTAAGTAAACTGTTGTAAGTCTAGGACTACCTGTATATATATATTATATTAGTATTTACATTGCAGAAATTATTATTGCAATTAGTAATTAATGCAATTAGAGCATTTTAGGCTGGAGGAGATGGCTTGTTCTCCAATTTATCTTTACACCGTCAACTACAATTGTTTTAATAATACCTGTAAGTGTCCTGCAATAACTCTGCTGTCTGGAAACAAGTAGTTTGAAACTTCACATACAGGGTCTTCTATGCCCACTGTCTTGCAGTATTCACGAGCTTCCAAACAAGCAGTTTTATAATCTGAATCTCTTCGGCCAATAACAGAGAGCATCCCACTTGGTATAACTTCAGAGGCCTCTTGCATGGCTTCAGCCCGTGTCTTGACAGCATACAGGGCTACGGAAAAGAAAAAGTATCTCTATAGAGGCGTACCCAAATTTGAGATTGCTGCTACAGAGCAAAAATGGCTATAGCAGTAGAAAACCTAAAACACATTTACACAGTCACAACTACAAGGACCCACTACTACCTAGAAAGGCTCTGGAGCCTGGGGAGGGCGAAAACGGCTTCATTCCCCCCCCTGGAGGCCGGAAATGGCCCGTTTGCCAACTTCCAGTGGGACCATTTCGGGCCTCCGGAGTGCCTCGGTGGGGGGAGAGGGAGACCGTTTTTGCCCTCCCCAAGCTTCTAGAAAGGCTCTGGAGCCTGGGGAGAAAGAAAAACAGGCCTACCGTGCCATCACATGCCAGGAGCCGGGGGGGCGCGCGCATGCACGGGGTGGATAGAATTATGGGTGTGGGCACCCGACCCCTCCCTCCCCCCCAGCACGCAATGGCAAAAAGGCTAGCCATCACTGCCCTATACCATTTTGGACAAGTGACTGTCCAGTCTCTTTTTTAAAAATCTCCAGGGATGAAGCACCCACAACTTCTGTAGGCAAACTGTTCCACTGTTCAATATAAGTAAAGAGTCTCCCTTCCCAAAATCATAGTAAGTAAGGAATTTAAAGAATCTTAACGACCATCTAATCCAGCTTCCTAACACAGGAAGTATGTTTTGTTCACATTTCTTTCAGTGCCATATATCCCCCACACTTTCACTTTGGTTATCAATTGCTGCAGCTGTGCAAAGCATTTCAAAGATATTTTGCAAAAAAATGCTGGCACAATCCAAGCATCTTTCTTCAAAGCACTGAGGAAGTTGTTCTGCAAGGATACTCGGCTTGTTTCACTGGTAGCCCCAACATAAATGTTACCTGAATACCCTTATTGCACATATAGACAACTTGAGAAAACCAGATCATGATAAAGGAAGTTGAAATTATGATTTGAAATAATGTCTGCCTGCATAAGTTATAGTTTTCTACTCATCCATTTAGAATTTGACAAATATACATAGGAATTAAAAGAAGGCTTTGCAGGCATAACTTCTGACTAAGCAAAACAGACAGTGAAACAAATCTATCTTTACTTCAAAATGCAACTGAATTTTGGGGACGAATAAAGCCAAGTGATGAGAAGACATGAAGCAAAAGAAGATGAATAGCTTTACTGTTTAAAAGCTTACACCATGGATTACCATAGACCATAATTAAATAGAACATCCAACCTGAATTACTTTTTACAAGAAATCTGCACTAAATATTTCACTTGATTCTTTACATTTAAAATTTCACAAGAACTGCTTTTGAAGATCAGTGTTTTAAATATATTAACACAATATATATATATATATATATATATATATATATATATATATTGCAAAACTACACAATTGTACTGAAAATGAGTGCATATATAACATATTTCAAGTGTACCAAATGGATGCAAAGTTCCATGGATGTTCTGTGTAAGGTCTATGAACTATAATTCCTGTGCTTCAAAGAGGCACTTCTACATCTGCTTTTTTCATCGCAACGAACTCTGCAATAAATTTCCCATTTCAACAAAAGTAATCATAAGCAACTTTTCTTATTTAACTTTAGTAAATAAGAAATTCCATTTTGAAGTTCTCGGAAAAAGAAAAATCAGGATTGTTGTATTTCATCAATTTGTAAAATAAACAAACAAATATGTGAATCAACAAATATATCACAGATATATTAAACAATAGATGTGTAACCAGGCAAAATATATGGGAGTTCCAGTACCCTCTTGATACTGTTACCTAAGGGTACAACGCATACTATTGTTACTATCTCCCACATTCTGCCACCTCTTTTTATTTTTGCTAATCAAGAATTTTTTTAGTCACATATTTTTGTATTTTAGGAAAATTATAATTATTTTTTTATTCCTCACGAGGAATTTTTATTCCTCATGTGCCTTCCTTTAATGCACATCTTTATTTCAGTGCCAAAATGTTATTCAGGCTGATGTAGCTCTAAGTTGAACAAACACTGTGTATTCCAACGTTATAACAAGGAAAAATAAAATATTTATATATATTGATACTTGCTTTATACCTTCTGCATAATCTATGGCTCCTGCAAAAACAAGGGCAGCATATTCTCCAATGCTGAATCCAGCAGCCGCAACACAGCTCTCAACAACCTGTAAAAAAAATTTTAAAAATCACTTTTGAAAATATGTTCAGAAGTGCACTGATGACATCATGTAATTTGTAAGGAAACATCTGCAAGAAAAGTACCAAGCTCAGAGAGCACCTTGGATCTCATGTATTCTGAAAACTAAACTGTATAATTTCTAGAAAGTTCTAAACTGAAAACAATCAAGCTGACTTGTAACCATCAAGATTGCCCAATCTTAAGACACTAAGGAATGAATGCTTTGCTCTTACAAGGAGAATGTTCAGGTATTTCTTTATGCTTTAACATCTTTGGCATAACACTATTCCAAGAATCAATATTTATATGAAAGATGCTAGTGTTAAATCTTGCCCAGAAGCAGTTTTGCCTCCCCATTAGTCTCAGGTAGATTAAAATGATAATGATAAAACATCTTCTGTAACTGTCTTTAGTAGAGTTTTCTAATTTCCATTTTCAGCTCTGAACTCAAAAGATTCTCAGATTGAATATTGTCTCAATTAAGCACTGTCTAGTAAAAATATCTGTTTGGGGCTAGTATTTTCTTTTCTAAAATTACAGATTTATACATTTTACAAACCGGCAGGTAAATAAATAAACCCAGATAAACCCAAATAATCACAGCTCTTCTGCAAGCGGGTGTAAATCTGTGGATCATATACAGATACTTAACAATTACAATTGAGAGTTGCAACTTTCACTGATCAACAGTTGTAAAAGTGTGACTCTCCCAGTTACAGCAGCCTCCCACAGCCGTGCTGGCAGATTACTTAATCAATCTCCTGCCAGCTTCCTCATTTACATTTCCCCACAAATGGCCAATCACAAATGAACAATCATAATCACGTGACTGTGGATACTGTATTGTAATTGCAAGCTGTTTTTCAACTGCTTGAATTACAATCACATGATCCCGGGGACGGTGTGGCACTCACAACTACAAGAATCTATCTTAAGTGCCCCTCATTCAAGGCTGTGGAAACTGAATGGTCGCTGAGCAAGCGGTGCAAGAACTACCTGTAAGTCCTTCAGCTTTTATGTTGCAATTTTAAGAAATCAGGGTGTTGCCATATAGTTTTGAAAGGCTTTTAAAATCCTGATTTCTTTTGGCACCTGTATTAAAAATGGTGAAAGAATAAATATATTCCATCAACATGAGTTAAGTTTCTCAGGCTGACCTTCCATAACATGTTAAGTCTGTTTCCAGAGGGAACACTTGCTCAGGTCTCTCTCAACCATTTTACCTGGCTTATTTTCCAAATACCGTGTTTCCCCGAAAATAAGATCCTGTCTTATATTTTTTTGAACCCCAAAATAAGCGATTGGCCTTATTTTTGAGGTCTTATTATTTTGGGGCACGTGAAGCTCCTCTTGCCATTTTACCTGATTTCCAGCTCAGCCTCCCTAACCTTAACCAGAGGAAATGGTGGGGACCGGCTGCACGTGCATTTAAATATTTTCAGGAATATTTTTGGAGAGGGCTTATTTTAGCCCATGCGCTCAAAAGCCCAATTGGGCTTATTATCTGGGAGGTCTTATTTTCAGGGAAAATACAGCTTCTATCTGGGTGATGGCAATATTGATTTTAGCCTTTTTTAAAACCACTTTGATCAATATTCCTCAGTGAAACAGCTCGGATCCAAGTAAGTCTAATCTGCCTCTTCAAAGTTTATCGGTTCACCCCAAAGCAGAAATTAATCCTTAAGCGATTTCACACCCTTTGCAAGGGAGGCTCCCAACGTAACACATTATGTTAAGCAAGAACATAATGTGCCAAAGGCATAACTGTACCTCCCACAGAAAAAAAATAATAATTTTGGTTTTTAATATACTGCAGTATATTAAAATTAAATTAAAAAGGAAAGATAAATGTATATATTAAGAAATGATGATAAATTATGAAGATGATGGCACAAAATGTTATACCCAGATGATACATGGATTGACTAATAATGTACAGGAATGTAAGAAGAGATATAATTATAAAGTAAAAAAGAAATTTGAAATGAAGATGTATGTGAATAGAAATTGGGCCTCCTTGAATACCATCTCAGACTGAACTGAAAAAGGAAACAACAAGGGAGTGGAAAAGGGGAGAGGAGTAGAGAGGGGGAAGGAGGGGAGTCGGAGGTGAGAAGAGAAGAAAAGAAGAACGGGAAAAGGAGAGTAAGAAAGAAGGGAAAAAGAAGAGTAGGAGAGAAGGTAAGAAAGGGAGGAAGAAGAGGAGGAATGTGGAAAGTAGAAAGAGACAGAAGAGGAAAGAGAAGGGAAGAAGAAAAGGAAAGGTTGCATTAAAACAAAGGAAGGAGATGGTATTTATTAATTCAATTTGTCTGCCGCCCCTCTCCGAAGACTCAGGGCGGCTCACAACGCATTTAAAATCATTATTTATTAATTTTATTTATTTATTTTATTTTATTTATATACCGCCCTTCTCCCGAAGGACTCAGGGCGGTGAACAGCCATAATAAAAACAATGTACAAAATAGAATTCAAAAGCAGATTAAAATGATTAAATCATAGGCCGAATTTAAAACTCTCATTTTAAAACCAATTTTAAAACCCCATTGAAACCAAATTAAAATCATTTAAGAATTAAAAACATTAAAAAAACTCATTCAAAGAGCAGATCCCCCCCCAACAAAATAATTAGCAAATTGGAAGTTAAAAGAATACGACGAAGGAATAATGATTTATGACGGACAAAAGACTGTACATTTAAATATGTTGATGAAAAATAAAAATAAAAAAACTTTTTATATTTAAAAAAAAAAGAAAAGAAAAAAAAATAATTTGGATGCCCTGCTTTTTACGTGATAACCGCAATACGTCATTTAAAAAAAAAAAAAACTCCATCCAACAGCTCAAAATCCTAGCACTGGATGGGACCTTGGAGGTCATCTAGTCTAGCCCCGGTGCAGGTATCCTGAGACCTGCACCAGGCAATGGGGCTGCTGGAAAGGCTCCAGGAACGTCCCCCAAAAAAGCTCCTCGCCTTCGGGGGCTGGGAGTCTCCCCTCCACACCCAGAGACCCTTCCTCACCCAGGGCTGCTGATGGTGCAGCTTCTCCACGGCAGCCAAAGAGCAGACGAAGACGGCGGGCTGGCTGTGGACGGTGCGGTGCAGCCGGGCGCTGGGGCCGTCCTGACAGAGGCTCCACAGGTCGTAGCCGAGCACTGCCTCGGCCACGCGGAACAGCTCCCGCACGTTGGGATACCGCAGCAACCCGCGTCCCATTCCCACGAACTGGCTGCCCTGGCCGGGAAAGAGCAACACGGAGGTTTCCTCGGGGACGGCGCGCTGCGCCTTCCGCGTCTTCTCGTCCACTTCGACGGTGGCGTTTTCCAAGAGCTCCTGCACGCCGGCAACCCCTCCGCCTCCTCCGGGCAACTGAGTGAACGGCTCCCGACCGAACCAACGGCGCGGAGCCAGCCGCACCGCCATGCTGGCCCCGCGCAAGCGCATCGCGACAAGGCCCGGCGGTTGCTACGGCAACCCTTGCTTCCCAGACTAGGCCTCGTTGTTTTTTTTTTAAAAAAAAACGGTCCGCAAAAAAGATAATGAAAAAGATTCCCGCTTTGCCGGGAACGGAGGTTCCGCGCCTCCAAAAAAAAAAGTGACGTCACTCCGGGCGCAAGCGCATTGTCAGCCCCTTCCTGGCTAAGCCTCTAGGTGACAGTGTTTCTCAACCTTGGACGCTTGAAGATGGGTGGACTTCAACTCCCAGAAGCCAGCGCTGCTGGCTGGGGGATTCTGGGAGTTGAAGTCCACCCATCTTCAAGCGTCCAAGGTTGAGAAACACTCTAGGAAGGCCTGGGGGTGGGGACGGGGTAGCTCTACACAGCCAATTCTCCACAGGATAACTCGCTGTCCTGGACAATTCAACTGAATTATTTTTTTAAAAAAATTAAAAATATTTTAATTTTTGTCATTCACATTTTATTTAAGTCCCTCCTTTGGCACCCTTTCTTCCATGATTCTATTGGATTATTGTTGGGACCCAGATTATTGGGGGCAATAGGCTAACTCTATAAACCTTAGAGAGGGCTGTAAAAGTACTATAAAGCGGTATATAAATCTAAGTGCTATTGCTTTGATATTAGTGTAACTCTTATCCAGCAGCGAGTTGTCCCATGGTGTGTTGCCTTGTAGCACTGGGGTCTCCAACCTTGGCAACTTTACCACTTGTGGACTTCAATTGCTGGCTGAGGAATTCTGGGAGTTGAAGTCCGCCAGGCTTAAAGTTGTCAAAGTTGGGGACCCCTGCTTGTAGCGAGTTGGCTGTGGCGAGTTGGCCATGATGGTTTGGGCGCAACAAGTTGATTGCAGCAAGTTGTCATAGACTCCCTAGGAGGATGTGGGAGGAATAGATTGGTCTTGAGATGCTGAAGGACTTGAGCAATTGTTTGCAGGGATGCCGCATCCTTGCTTGGCTTTTCACTCTGCCTTTGAAGTTCTTTCTCTCGGATCCTGGTGTATGGCAAAGCCAACTCGAGGCCGGGCAAATTTGTCTTGCTGGAGTTTGAGCAATGGGATTGTTGCAATATTTTCAGGATCAGACTCAATAAAGATAATAGGAGTTAGAGCTTTAAATATATTTCTTTTTAATTATGATAGGCATTCTATATTCACTGAATATTCAAGGTAGAAGCAACGAGAATGGTGAGGGTGGCTCCTTATATATACAAGGGGTGGAGCTAGGAATGGGAGTGGTAAGTTATGAATACATTAAAGTCCAAAGAATAAGTTAACCTCTGATGTTCCATATATACATTATTTACACATTGGAGAATAAGGCATTTACATCTGACAAATCCCCCTCTAAATGCCGGTTCGTTACACAACACCAATTACATTCTGATTCAGGACAATATAATACATATAATTTAGAAGTTAAATATTTGTGTTGTTTAGAAGGTAAGGGTTTTGTTAATATGTCAGCTAATTGTTCAGAAGTATCGCAATGTATTGCTTTAATGAATCCGTCTTGAGACAGTTGTCTCACATGCTTAAACTTTATATCAATATGCCTGGACCTTTGTCCAATTGCATCGGATCTGGATATTTCAATGGCCGCTTTATTGTCTTCATGCATAATAAATGGTAAGGTGGGTTTCTTCCAAACATCAGTGATCAGATCATTGAACCATACAAGGTTATTTGCAGCCTTGGACAAACAAACATATTCCGCTTCTGTAGTGGAAGTGGCTACTAGTTCTTGTTTACCAGTATACCAGTAAACTGGACAATCATTCAATAGAAAAACATAACCAGAAGTACTCTTTCTGCATGATGTATCACCAGCCCAATCTGCATCAGCATAACAAGTAATTTTTGGTTCTCTGTCATTATTGGGTTCCAACATAAACAAAAATCTAATGTACCCTTCAGATATCTTAGAATTCTTTTGACAGCTTCCCAATGATACAAGGTTGGTTTACTAACATATCTTGACAATAGATTGAGAGGTAATGCAATATCTGGCCTAGTCCAATTAGATATATAAAGGAGTGAACCTATAACTGATCTGTAAAATGTGTTGTCTTTAAACTCAGGGGAAGATTCATCAGTGTTTCTAAGAAAAATCAGTTTGCATAGGGGTGTCACAGGTTTTAGCATTATTTAAGTTACATTTGTTTAGGAGTTCGATGATTTTATCTTTCTGTGTAAGTTTGAATCCCCTTTTAGTTTTGTTAATTTGCACACCAAGGTATTTATTCACTTTACCCAGAGATTTCAGTGAGAAGTGTTCATTTAACTTATTTACAAAGATTTCCCTGCTCTCTTATGCTTTCCAATGTATAAAATATCGTCCACGTAAATTAATACAAATTCAATATGATCATTACTCTTTTTTACAAAGAAACAGTTATCAGCAGTGGTGGCGTTGAAATCCATGGTCTTAAGTACTTTTACCAAGCAATCGTACCATCTTTTGCCGGATTGCTTTAATCCGTACAGACTCTTATTTAATAACCAAATTTCGTTCTTATTAGTGTATTGACTGTGTGGTGCTCTTACATATATTCCTTATCTAATTTTGCATGTAAGTATGCGGTCTGTATGTCATATTGGAATACGTCCAGATTGAGTGCAGATGCTACTACAAGGGCTGTTTTGACACTCTCTGTTCTCACTGTGGGTGAATATGTATCAGTATAGTCTTCTGGATATTTTTGTGCATAGCCTTGTGCAACTAGTCTAGCCTTGTATAAGGTATTGCCTCCTTCTAAGTTCTTAATTTTTATAAATCCACCTGGTACCTATAATTGTTTTATCCTTAGGTGCGATCGCAGGTGTGAATACATTTAATCCTTGTAAACTTTCCATCTCTTTTTCCATAGCTAGTTCCCATTTTTCTCTTTCTTCATGTGGAAGTTTCAATACTTCTTCATATGTATTAGGTGTTATTTGTTCTCCATTCATATGCATTATGTAATCTTTGTATTTATTTGGTATTTGGTTTCTATTGTTTCTAATAGTTCTTTCAGGCTTGCTATGGTTATCATGCAAATATCTAGCTTCCTTTTTTGTTAATGTGTCTGTCTTTATTTTATGCTGACTATTAGTCCAAGTTTTGGTTTTGTTCTTACTTTTGTTAATATTTTGATTTTCTGTTGTTCCTTCCTCGCAAGATATCGTATCTTTACATTTATTGGAAATATTTCATTAAGGTGCAATTTTGACCAATTGGCCTGTTCATGGAACACAGCTGTTCTGGATACTATAAATTTGTTATTACTATCAATAAATCTGTACCCTTTGGTTCCAGTTTCGTATCCCATGAATCTTAATCTCCTGGATACGTTTTCTCCCTTTCTCCTCAATTGTTTAGGTATGTGTACGTCTGCAGTGACTCCAAATATGTGCATGTGTGATAATTTGGGTTTTCTATTGTACATCACCTCATATGGTGTCTTATTCACAATACTGGACCAGGTTCTATTTTGAGTGTAATTCGAATAATGTAATGCCTCTGACCAAATTGTTTGCCTAAACCAGCATCCTCTAATGTGCACCTAATCATGGTTTGTAGTGTGGAATTTTTCCTCTCTGCAACTCCATTTTGAAATGCAGAAAAGGATTGGACGTGAAATGTAACATTCCTCTATCCTTTAACCATTGGGAGAATTCTTTAGACATGAACTCACATCCCCTATCTGTCATAATTTGCTTTATTCTGATATTATGTTGTGTTTCTATACGTTTGTAGAATTCCTTAAATTTCTGAAATGTTTCATCCTTGTGCTTTAATGTGTAAACAAAACCATATCGGCTGTAGTCATCCACTATTGTTAGGAAGTAACGTTTTCTATAGGTAATTGAGGGACTTAATGGACCAACTAAGTCCATATGTACCAAATCAAAAATATTGTTAGTTGATCTGTTAGATTTTTTTGGTCTGGGACTGGTTTTTAGTTTGGTGGACTTACATACTGAGCATTCAAATAATTTTCACAATTTTTTTATTTTGACACCTTCTGCGTGTTCAGTCATTTTTTGTACTACAGGAAAGCTTGCATGTCCTAACTTCCTGTGTAAGATGTGAGCACACTCATCATGAATTGGTTTACCTATTTTTGGTTTCTTTTCCTTGTATGTATTTTTTGTGATCATGAGTTATTCTACACTCATCATTGTCACTGTTACTGACATTTTCATCATCTGCTTCAATACAATCTTCCATATTTGAATCAATGTTATGTAAACATCTTTCTTTAATTATCAGATAGGGTAGACCTCCTTTTATCATTACAGTACCTACATTTGTTTTGTTCTTTTCTATAGTTGCTTTCCCCTTTGAGAAAACTATATTGATATCAGATTCTCTGCTTAATTTTATGGCACTTAGTATGTTGTGAGGTATTTCTGGGATTAATAATACCCCCTCTATTTTCCCTAGACCAGGCAAGGTCACATTTCCTTTGCCTAGTACTTGAACCTTTTCTTGATTAGCTACCTTTATCACAAACTTATCTTCTATAAATGAAGATAATATACTTTTGTTGTTGGTGGTGTGATTTGTTGCACCAGAATCAATAAGCCAATTGTTATTCTCATCCTGCTGTGTTCTGGTGCTGTCTTGTTTATTTAGCCCATTCAGTGACCCAGATTTCCTCTCTTTTGAATTTTCTCTACCCCCTCTACCTTCTTTGTAATTTGGTGGGCTTCTATATTTGTGTCTATCTGTGGAAGATTGTCTGTAATTATATTTGCTCCTATATTCTGGTCTATGTCTCTCTCTTGAGACTTTGGGGCAGTCTCTTCTACTATGTTCCCTGGATCCACAATTGTAGCATCTAAAGGCCTCATTATGTTTATCTTGAAAGACTACTTTCCTAAAAGGTTTGTGGTCTGTTTGGTTACTGGATCGATTTTTTCTTGAATTGTCTTCTGCTATCAATTTGTTAGATAGACTTTCTATGGATAAATATCCCAAATTAATGGTATCTAAGTGTGACATAAAGCTATCCCATGATGGATCAAGTGAATTGATAATAACACTTTTCATTGTTTGATCTGAAATCACTTCCCCCCTCAATTGTAGCTCAGCTCTTATTTTGTTTAGATTTATCAAATGCTCACTTATAGAAACCCCTGGTTTTAC